GAAAATTTCGAGAAATTTTTCATCGAAATTTCCATTTTTTTCTATAAAAACGTCTGCCAAAAATCCAATTTTATTTTTTTTTGTTTTCCTTCCTCCAGTACCTAGTTTATTGTCTTTACTAAAACACGTATTTTTTATTTTTATTTGAGATGATCCTGAAAGAACTTTTGCTGATGCACTGTTTTTTCGAGGGACTGTCGGAAATGGCGTCGTAATGACTACCATTTTGATATTTTTTTTTTGAAAATTTTACGAAATGTTTATTAAATATGAGTCTTTTAAATAAAAAAAAATTCATTAAAATACTTCATTTTGTATAAAGGAAACCCATGTAACCCCTCAAAGGAAGAACTGTTGACCTTATAGTATATGAAACCATATGCTGTTTAAAGAGTTCTAAACTAAGTTGTATTTATCGTGATAAATAATATGGATGACAGTGCAAAAATTATTGCGCTTGTGGAAGGTGCGTTTAATTCTTCTTTGAGATCATTGAGAAAATGTTGCAATCTAGCTTAGCAAAGCTTAGTTGTCAAAAACAATTTGATAATACAAAATTAATCATGTTTGAAAGCTGAATGTCAAACTTAAGTACGAACAATCCTCAAACTTGTGAGAGATATTTAGCAACAGTACACCTATAGCTTGACATTTCCTGTGACAACGGTGTTCAACATAGTTGTTATTAATTCTCAAAAGTATGATGATCTAATCACTAACAAGTTATAGGCGGAACTATGTTTACTTTTTTGAAATCATTGCTAAAATATACACCATAAAATGTTAACAGCAGTCATAAAAGGTCGAGAATAATTGTCTAATAAGTAATTTTAGCGATTTTTATGGCATACTAAATATCATATATCATATAGATCTTCCACAAAAACCCATCACTTGTAAACTCTTTACTTAACGCTCGATAATTAGTGAAGCGTTTGGCCAGTCAGTTGGTAATCAACTCCTCCCTTTGAACTATATTAGGCAGTGATTCTGAAGCAATTAAGTGTGTATACTATACATAAATAATAATGTTTCCTTCACGAAAAAGAAAAGTATCTAATAACTTGATTTTGATCGATCAAATTGCATGGCAGCTATAGGTTATAGTGATTCGATCTGAGTAATGTTTCTTGGACAATAATTCATGCCGAATTTCGTTAAAATATCTTATTAAACAAAAAAGTTTTCATTACAAACACATGATTTTGATCAAATAGTTTGCATGCTAACTATGTGCTATATATATAGTGGTTCGGACCAATGAGCAGCTTCTTGAAGAGAAAACGACATGTGCAAAATTTCAAACAGCCGGAATGACGACCATGGTTATATCGACTCTTTATGGTCTCCGACGTTTCCTTCAGGGTATTACCAACTTCGTGGCAAACTTATAGTTAACTGGCATAATTAAAACTGCATAACGAGTTGGAATGTCGCAAAACACGCACTCTCGTTTTAAAATGTCCTTCAATTCGGAGTGTAACAGGTGTATACATATGTATTGATTATAATTTCTAAGTCACGCAATATTTATTTGGTTGAATTTTTAATTTTTAGAGAGATATGGTTTTGGCAAAAGCTTAAACAAATTACTGAAAACACTTTAAATAACTGAAAAGCACTTGTTTGGGAAAATAAAATTACAAACTCAAGAGACAGCAACCCCGTTAACATGCTTTATTCAAGAAATCAGGTTGATGGTAGAAAAAGAGCAGATTTGAGCTGGTTGGAAAAAACCAATACAAAGAGTAGGATATATAAAAAAATCAATTTCACTTGGTGACAAGTTGAAGTCTTAAGAAATAACATTAAATCTCCACTGCTAGAAGAAATCACGCAAAATGTTGCCTACAATTAGACGAATCAAGAAATGTAACACACCATCTATCTTAGACACACACCATTTCAAAAACAGATACTAAGATTGAACCACTTCCAGGACCGTCGAATCTACATAATCGAAACGGACCCGAAATTTTTGTTCGGTTAAGGTCTGACAAACCGGCAGTATTCCTCGAAATTACTACAGAAAAGTTTTCTGCCGCTACAACAACAACATTMATCATTTGTATTCAGCTAATTATATATAACTCCGACAAATCCTGTAGTCTAGAGTAGATAATTAATAGTTCATAAAGTTTACTTTCTGCACTTTTCTTGCTGAAGCTGTCAATTCTAATTCAGGTATTATCCTCGAAGACATCTTGACATCCTCAAACGAAAAAACGCTTCCAAATATGAGGAACGGATTTACACTTAACACCACTAATTAATAGTTTTCCAACTTTCATATTATACTATTCTATGACTTGAAAGAAACATATTAACTATTTTAGAGCAGTTAGTATTAAACTTTTGGGTATTCAAAAGCTCAGAAAATATTGAGAGAGTTATAGAATAGAATATTAGTTATTTACTTTTTTACAAACACTCATTGGCAATTTTCTGAGCAGAAATTAAAATTTTTTTCTCTGTGACAAAGTCTAATACATATATAACACTATTTTCATTTGAAAAGCTTCTTACCAAGAACTAAATGGTTTAAGCTACTTTTTAGTCATAAATAAACTTATATTTTACTATGCAGGAAAAGTGGAGAGAGAAAATATTGAAGCAATAAATATCGCATTACAAAAACTGCAAAAAATCAATTAGCTTAATGCAGCAGAATGGGATGGAATAGCAAAAGTGCTCATAGAATTATAGATAAATATACTAGTTATATCCTTTTGCGTAATGAAAACATTGAGGGGTAAAACACTATATTTATTGCTACTTCAGCTATGCAGAAATGCCGATGGCAAACTGACAATTAAAAAAATAGAAAAGAGAGGGGAAAACAACATAGTTTTATGAATATTGAAGTGTCTGCTAAAATTATACAAATCAATAATATTGGAACAGTTATGCTGAAAAAAGAGAATAAATTAGCGCCATTAACTCAGTAACGGTGAAAATATATTAAATGTTCTCTCTCATACTACAGGGTTTGTCCAAAAAGTAATAGAACTGAATTGATTTAAAAACAAGTAAGG